AACAAAAAGAGCATCGTTTTGTATTCTGTCTCTTCGACTAAGATTGCTCGATGTGTAAATATTATTTAAGCTCAAAAAATCGGAGTTGACACAGGCATGCTTCCCCATGTTTCATTTACACATGATTAACTGAATCATATTATTCGCGCTACGCGCGTTTCGACGAAACGTTAACCTCGACATTACACGCGAGTAACACTCATAGACCCTTCATAGTACGTGCCACCGCTTGTAAGCTACTTGTAATTGGATTACAGACTTACAGAACACTCGTACACTCCAGTGCAAAAATCCTTCCGCGTTTTATATTATTCGTAGTGAAATGGTTTAGTTCTAATTACGTATAAATATTTTTGTCATCCAAATTTTATACAGAGCATTATGGCAAATATTAACATAAATTGTGAAAGTTTGAAAACTTGTATGGTAATAAAAAAAACGTACTTGTAATAATAGAAGAATGGAATAGAATTAGACAATGCTCCAATATTAAAATAAACATTTAAAGGGATTAATTTCTCAAGAATATGATAATATCACGAGTAATTCCGAAAAATAATTCTAAAAATATCGTAAACATTTCTTGTTAAACTAGCGTTTAACATTTTATTACAGGTGTTTACAAGACGACAATTTACATTGTAATAACCTTCGGATCATTTTTGTGCAGTCAGGGAACACATTAACTCATTGTCGGCGAACATACAACAGTAATGTCGGCAGTAAAAAAAACCAGAGTCATGTAACCGTAACGATACTTCATCTTCTCCTGAAACGGCACGTGTCTACAAAGCGGTTTTTAACCCTCCGCAAAACATGCTCCGTTGGACACGGTATTTGTATAGGGCTACTTACCTACGACGCACGTGCTCGCATTATGTACGTGTGCAGTGGTGTGCAGGGAGATGGGAACTGGTAAACATCCTTTGTAATTTAAATTTTAAAATGAATCGTCATTAAGGATAATATCGAGAATTTCGATATGCCATCTGATTTTCTGTGTATATACATATATATGTATAAAGTCAAAGAGAAGAAAAAGGTGATTTAATATCGCTTAAAATGGATTCATAAATTCATTAGTTTATTTGTACATTATTTTTATAACTTGTATCATAATTTAAAAGTATTATGTACATTTATATGTACATGTTAATTTAATATCTTTAAGAAAGTTTGAAATTCTTTCAGTTGTAAATGCTCGTTTGCATGTAGCACCGATTGTAACTCGATCCAATTTCGATCCTGTCAGCTCATTCCTTCTAATCGAAGAGATGTGATTATTCTTATCGATGGCATTATGCAAAGGAGTTAACACGAACGGCGAAGCGTGCTTCTCCCTCGATAAAAGCGACTTGATGAATTGAGTTAGTCGTGCGTGAATCATTGAGCAATCGTTTTTAAGCCTCTGGTTTCAACCAGTTAGATGAAAACCCCAGAGAAAGAGTACGTAACGAAAATAATTGCATTTTCCATGATGCATTCGCGAAACTTTGTTATATGTATGAAACATAAAGAATTATTTGATTTTGCTTCGGATGTACTTTCGCTTGATTCAATAATAACAAACGCAGATGCTCTTTTTTATCTCGATCAATAAAAGGGCTACATAAATACAGCTTCCGGGAGCATGGACTACCCTTTTGGTCACAGACCAGCATTTTGTACGCAGCTACCAACGCCCATTGCTTTTGATTTTACTCTGCATTGTCAAAATCCAATTTTAAATGCGCTACGTGAATTTAAAATTTGATTAACATAAACATGCTTTTATTACAATACTTTACATTAATAACAATATAAAGTAATTATTACAAAATTAAAAGTAAAGTCGTGTTTTTTTTTATCAAATTTCGTGAAAATTCTAATTCTATGTATAAATTTCGTGCTGTTTTTACTCACTCTATATAAAAACTGTAATAAAATTCTACAAGGTAAAAAGTATTTATATTTTCATTAGAATAAAATATCTTTTTGTAATAAAATACATTAAACAAAAATATTTTAATTAAAAAAAATTCTCTAAGATTTATGTAGTACTTTTTCTTTAAAATAAGTAAGGTTATATACTTATAATAATATAGTCTATCTAAGGTTTTGCATTTTTTCTAATTTTTTGCTACGTCCAAAATAGATCAGGTTTAAAAAAGAAAACGATTCTGAACGGTTATGTTAAGTACTAGGCCATATTGAATAGAGTTATCTTATATTTTACATTATATTTTTATGTGTTCAATAATATATTTTATATATAAAATCTGTCTTCTACAAATGAAAACGGTACATTCATGTTGTCATATTGTTAATTCAAAGCAAATTATTATAAGTGCTTTCTAGTTTATTTAAAAAAACACTGTTCTATATAATTTCATGTAAATTACTTCAGTCTTGGAGTGCTTTAACGCAACAGTGCCTGGAGAAACTTGTCAGTGCAAAGGTCGTAAGTGCATGTACCTGCACGTCTGGCTTAATGTTCGGGGCAATCGGGGCAGACGAAAGTGTCCTTTTATGGCAACGAGTCCTTTCACGAACGGCATTCTTGACGGGCTTTCCATCGTGTTCACACAACATATAAGCTGGTGGTTCCAAAAATAGGATCGATATACATATATATGTATATATAAGTATATATATTCACATACAATGAACTTGAGATATCAATATATAAAAAGAGATAGACAAGATAGATTTTATATAGTTGCATATAGATAGATACGCAGATAAGGTAAGCTTATCCCTCCGTTCGAGACGCGAGGCATGGATTAACATAACTAGTATATCTAAGAAAAATCTTATGAATTATTTTTTATAGATAAAAAGCGAACTCATCTATTAATTGTAGAAAAAAATTGTAAAATAAATTTTAATATAAGTTTTTTTTTTAAATTGTTTGGCGAATAAGTGCTACACATCTTAAATATAAAATTGCTAATTTTCAGTTGTAATTTTAGTTATCTATTTATATTAATAGATATTTAATGTATATGTAAAGATTATTAATAAATATTTAATTTAAAATTTATTGAGAGACTCTTTGCATAAAAAATTGAATTTCTATTTAATTATATTTTATTTAATTTCTATTCGTATACTTGCTAGATTGCATATATCCGAGTCATGCAAAATTGAAACGTTTTGCGGTGCAGTAAGATAGTATATCATTGTGTGGTGGGGTAATGTAGGAGTAAAAAGCTTTTATCACTTTCGTCGAAGTGGTAGCGATTCCATATTAAAGAGTTAACTACGAGAGGAAAAGAGGACAAGGATAGAGGACAGAATATATTACATGTAGGTATATGTCGTGCACGAAATAGAATTCCTTAATGTATACAATTATTATTAATCTAACAGAATTATAATGGATCGCGGCGAAAAGTTACTTTTGTGCTCTTTCAGAAAAGCAATTATAATTCAACTCCATTAATATTTATGTTATTTGAAGAATACTTATCCGCATGTCCACACATTTTCCCATTTTAATTCCCGATTAATTATCCTCTTCTTGCCCTGTACAAATTAATTATTGAAGCAAGACCATTAATATAATTGAAACGGGAAAAACTTTGTTAAGAATGAACTTTGTTATGAATGGATTATCAATTTATTATTAGCAGTGGATTAAAATTTATCTCAGTTCATTCGAGAAAGTTAAAAATTCTACCATTCTGCTCTTCTCTCTATTACAATCATTTTTATTATATTAAACTTTTCCTTTCTATTCTCTAAATATTTCTCTCTTTTATTGCTGTGTATATATTTAGTTACACAAGCTACTTCCTCCCATAGAATTTCTCTCCGAACACGAGCATATCTTCCTTTCGCTTAAATGCACCGCGTTAGAACAAATTATCGCTACCGCAAGGGCTCGATTTTCCACGCGGTGTTCATGGAAGTGCAGGCAATTACATTTAATAGAGGCATCCGTGTTAATGATCGTAGCGACGCGTTAATTCCGCGGCGACGTCGCTTGCTCCGGAACTTCACCGAAGATCGCGTATGTGACATCATCGTTTACCAGCTAGTGGAAAAAAAAAAAAACGAACTCAAACAGATACGAGAAGGAAAGACGACACGATCGTTCAAGGCGCTTCAATTAAACTCGCTTGAGAGAGGGAGGCGGATGACGGACAGATCTCGCCGCAGCTTCCTCGTAAAACGCGTCTACCGCGCGCTGCACTTCGAGGACGGGATCGCCGTTTAAGTGATCGTTACGTCTCTCCTCGGCGCGGCGGCGGCCGAACAAGTCAACAGGACAGGCGAGATCGCCGCCGTCTCTCGAAATAGACGCGGCAGATGGACGAGAGCGGAGAGGGATGTGGTGCTAGGATTTTATGGATTTAAATTGACCGAAGGGCGCACTGCCGACGACGACGCTGCGAACTGCTGCTATGCCGTTTTACTGCGTGCCCAATAGCCCAATTGGCGCGCGTGTGGAAACCACCACCGGCTCGTTGACTTTTCGAATGAAACCAATTGCTTCTGCGGCACCGATACGACGACGTGCCATCTGCCCGCAATACGGTATCGCACATCCGGCGCCGTCGAAAGTGTCGAGTCAGAGACACACGGGGTGTCTACGAGCGGAATTCGTCGCCGCGAAACACTAATCTAAGGAAACACACCAAGCCAAGAGAAAATCCAAGTAACTTTGTGTTAAACATCATGAAAATCAAAATGATGATTCTTGGTCACAAAATTTGACTGGTTTATATTGATGTTAAGAATAAAAATAAAGTTATTTTAATTCCTTTTATTTGACTTTCGTGTGTTTCTTGGAGATGTTGCTATAAAAACGATCGCTCTCGGTAAAGCTTACCACGCGTTGTTTTGCAACGAGCCATCAATAATGTTGGAAATATCGATTTATACATTCGCGAATAACAGTCTAGTATTGCGGAGATTTGAAATCTCTTTATTTTGTCTTACGACTATTTTTCTGTTAGTTTCCATTGTTGTTTTACATTTTTTGTGCTCACTGTTTTTTTCTTTTTACATTGCAGCAAAAATGCGTGAAAGCACGAGCTCTGTACGATAATATCGCAGAGGCGCCTGACGAGCTGGCCTTTCGAAAAGGCGACGTCCTCACCGTGCTGGAACAGAATACTGCTGGTCTTGAAGGATGGTGGTTGTGCGCTTTGCGAGGTCGACAGGTATAGTTATTTCAAAAGACATAAAGTTTTTATCTACGAATCCGTCTCAAATAGAATTCTTGAAAATTCGAGATTCCTTATGAAACAACATCGTAGGGAATTTCTATAAGTTTCGCGGGATCTCTATCTCAAAGAAGGATTACTTCATTCGTAGCTTTATAATAAAATAATCGATTTTATTATAAACTCTCACAAAATAATAGATTTCACATTTTAAACAAATTTGAACGAATTTACTTTATCTTCGTACCTTACGGCTTGTTTGTAAGTATATACTGAAATTCTAAATCTGATTACAATCCAATTTTCTGCCTAATCGAGAATGCCTTAGGCGAACGTGTAATATACGAAACTTCCTCGCGTTTGGGAATTCCGCTTGCGTCTCTATTAACTGCGTCTCTCTTTGTTCTACTACATTCTAATGGAGTTTATCCATTCTATTAACAAAAACCACGTGTTAGGTATTTCCACATACGTATTATCTATGCGCGTCTCTGTAATGCATAAGATCACAGATCCAGAACGAGACTGTCTTTCCTTCTTTTTCTTTTTTCTCTCTTCTGAGAGAGGTATTATTATTGCCACGAAAATAGGACATTCGATTACGATGATCTAGCTTCGTGATCTCTGCCTTCGGGCTGATGTCAGACATGACTGCGCACAGACCTGATTATCAATTATTAAGAACATGATCGTTTAATTAGAAAGGTAGAGAAACGAGAGAGCAAGAGACAAAAGAAATTTCTCTCAAATTATGAATAACGAAAAGATTGAAGTTTCGTCGATGAAGTCATTGCAATTCGATGTAAAATACGCCAGAGAATTTGTTATTAATTCATATAATATCCAGTTATATTAATAAAGTTCAGTGTATTACTTTTCTCTGCGTCAATTTAATAATTGTTTCATTTCGCTTGGATTTATTTATATAATTTCCTGTCTCACTTGTGTGATTTTTTCGGTTTATTCAACGGAAAGTCATAAACGTTTAGCATATATTTTTATAACAAATTAAAAATTTGTAGTTTTTATGAATTTTATTTCTGTTACATTATTACTTATCCTCGTCTATTCACGTGTTTGTGTAACATATGTACACCGTTATGCAAAATGTAACTTTCATATTATCATATTGAGCTCTTAATATTTTGTTCCCTTAATTTTGTATCTCATTTTTGATGACTGCTCGTGATGCTCCATTCAAAAAGCAAATTTATCTCCGACAGTAACAAAGCTGTCGTCAGCTTCTATGTACAAGTACCTCGCGTGCACGAGACTGCTTATGCACATCTGTATAATGCATAAGAGCCGATGCACCAGAGCGGCTCTGGTGGTTCTCGAGGTATGACGAGGCAACATTATTATCGCGGAAATGGGACTAACGATCGTACTTTGCAATTACCTTCGATATAGAAGCAGTCTCGAGTCTGCGATACCAACCATCGTAAATATTTTTACATCACTAACTAGGTACGGTACTCTTAAAAGAAGAACGATAAAACCCATCTAAACACACTTAAAGTTTCGTGACAATTCACGATCAAGAAAACAGTTATATAACTATTTCCGATACTATAAAAGAAATAGACTAACATTAAACGCTTTGTAAATAATAATTAATTCATTTGCCAAGTTGCGGTTGATTGAGTCTCCATTCGGGTTGTAGTTTTGAAAATTCTACGAGATTATATCCGTGTTTGAACGTAGTCCTTCTCAAATCGAGTCCACGATCTCGGGTAATCTCTTCACTGCACACGTCGATCTTATCGAGCTACTTTTCCTGAAATGACTTCCGTTTGCTGAAACACTCGGCTCATCGCCGTTGCTACGACCAACACACGTGCGATCTGTTTGGAGACATACCTATGTGAGGCAGTAATTGAGAGTAAGGCGATGTGACGTGGGTGGAGGGTGATTGAATGATACGGTCTCCTGATCTTTATTGGAAACTGGGAACTTTTGACGTCGTCGAAATAGACTATATTGCTAAAGGTATCGGTTGAATCAGCGGTTTGTGGACTTATGACGGACATTTTCGCGACCTACTGGTGAATTGGAGTTATCAAATTCTTACTATTTTTTAGTGAGAGATTCGTCATTCGATATCGCGAAAGCTTAATTAAAATTAAATTTGATTTTATCAATACCACTTATGTTATCAACACTCCTGCTTTGATTGCATTTAATGAATTGAAATAACATGAAGACCCCCCCCCCAGTAATAATTAATTACGAAAAGATTAATGAATTTCGCTTTACCGAATTATGAATTGTTGATCTGCAAGATCAAAAATAGACAATTTATTAAACTGACAAAGATTCTTTTTATGTTACTTATATATTTCCTCACTTTTTTTTTCCGTTAATAAAGTTATATCGAGAAATCTGAAGTTTCGACAAGTATTACTAAAACCGAGAATGTTGGCAACGTTTTAGTGCTGTTCCACCGAAAACGCGAGATCTTGAGATTTATGAGTTACAACTTTGTAGCACTCAAGATAAACGAATGAATTTATGCGCGGCATGCATCACTCGATGGCAACGCTTATTCCTCAAGGCTCAAGGCACGACGCAACGAAGGGTGTAACGTTTATTTTTGTCTCGATCACACGAAATTACACAAACTCGTGACACACTCACAAGCAAGGACGGCTAATTGGAACCTTCTCTCACCCGAAAGTCCTTCTCAAGCGTGCGAGTAAGCCAAAAAGCTACCGCGCCTTTTTATGGAGAAAGAGTAGGCGGTACAAAAATTAAGAACAGATGAATAAAAATACAACAATGAAGAATCTAAATTAATTTTTCTAATATATGAAACTAACAACTCTAAGGAGATTTTTAACTCAATTAAAAATCTCTTTAAGAAATAAAAAATGTTTAATTTTTTACAATATATTTTTGAATATAACTAAATAAAAATCTTTAGAAAAATATTAATAATATAATAAATTATTTGTTTATTTATTTAGCATTAGAAGATTTTTAATTATAAGGAGGAGGTTCATTAAACTTTCTGAAAATATATCGATAGGACATGCGCGATTAAAAATTTATTTGTGTGAAGCATCGGAAGTGAGCTGTTGTTACGTTATTGTATGTATTTTTTGCTCCTCTAGGGCATTTGTCCAGGAAATCGATTGAGGCTTCTGGTTGGCCAATACGATACGGGGGGTTGTTTGGTCGGCAGCAGGGCCGACCTAACCATTGCAGAAGATGGCATACAGAGACATGGGAAAAGACGTAGCTGGCACGTACAGCCCAACAGGGTGAGTTATTTGAAACTATTCTCTAATTACACATATTATATTTTAAACCTACATGTATATAGACGTGTGTGTATGTATTGCATTTTGCGCGTTTATTCTTATTCTTAATCGCAAGCGAAAGTATATTCTATATTGCTGCGTATGACGTTCCATATTATCGACTTAGTTTTGATCTGTAAGTTTATTATTGTTCGAATGTAACTTGAAATAAACTAAGTATGTTAAAAACTATTATGTAACATGCATAAAAGCCGTGCAAATAATTGCAAAATTGATTTAATTATTATACAAAGAGGAGTCGAAGTTAAAAATTCGTGTTTATCTTAAACACCGAAATGTACTGTGCATCCATTATAAGCATTCAGTAAACCGCAGTAAACACTAATTGTTTATGAATTTTATAATTTTAACTTTAAACACGAATTCTTTACACCCGCAAATGAAATTCTGAAGGATTCGCAGAAACACATAATTACAACGATCATTTTTCCTCCATGCCTCGTATTTGAATGACGCTTTATTAGTCTGACTGCAACAGCTGGCTTCTCGAATTAATATATCCGCTAGCTGAAAGGGCATACAAGAGCAACGGCGACTCCCTACCGATCGATCATTTGTAAGCGCAACTATGGACAGGATTTTTCAAGCGCGATATGTCTGATCGGTCTGTAGATTTATGTTCCTTTAAACAAAGAAGTCATTTAATTTTTTTTATACATCACCTGCGATGCTTTCTTTATCCGAATTAAAAAGTCATATATTATTAATTTTTCTACAATTTATTATAGTAATTGAGATCATCATTTATATTAGATTTGCTTGATATTCTTTTTAAAAAAAAAAGAAATAAAAAAAGATAGGTATGAATTCCAAAACAAGAAAACTGTGACTGATAATGAACTTTGTTTTTTTGCTACTGGAATGTAAAAATCACAATTATAGGTGGATATTTGCAGATTAAGAATTTTGATATAAAAAAAATATAATTTACATATTTAACTATTGTTAATAAATAATACAATTATTTACTAACAATATATAATGTGCTCTTCATACTTTATTTAACTTCGATTATTTTATAGTACGGCTGTACTTTCTAGCCGCAAAAAATAAAAAAATTGATCATTATTTGCTTGTAAATTCGCACGTGTCTAGTCCATATACGTTTATAATTTTTCCATTTTTTAAATTATAAACGTATATATGGACTAGATACGTGCGAATTTACAAGCAAATAATGATCAATTTTTTTATTTTTTGCGACTAGAAAGTACAGCCGTACAATAAAATAATCGAAGTTAAATAAAGTAATCGCTTATTATATTGGTAATATTTTTTTCAAAACAATTAAAAACTTAATTATCAGAAAGATGATCTTGTTTCAAACAAAGTGTATAAATTCTATTTAACAACAAGATTTCAATGAAATGAAAATAAAGTTATCTCTTTCATGTAACTGTTCATATAAGCTCCCTTTATTTTGATACAATGTGTACTACACTCCGGTTTCGTGGATGGGACAGTCAATTCTTCATTGGAATGTCGGGGAGCTATCCAAACCACGAGTATTCGTGTTACTTTCCTGATTTTTCTGTCCGAACAATTATATCGCTTCGTTGGTCACGAATTGGGAGACTGCACCGCGGAATTGACAATGGAGCTCGGACGACAGTTCATTGTGTTCGTCGTGGGGGCCGACCTTTTACGCCCCCATATTCGCTGAAACAGAATCTGTCAAAATCAGCTGACGGTCACTTGGTTCGTTCGGCTCTTCTGGATGGCCGTCGTCGCGGCTATCGCTGCGTATCTGGCTCTGTCGCGTTTTAACATCTGCCACTGACATCAATTCGATAAAATGAATACGAGCTCGGTCGATTAAAGCGGTGAGTTTGTCCACTATACATAGCGCTAGAGCGAAAGTAATTGCCTTTGTATAAAAATTATCGCTGATCTCCGAAATTGATATAATACATATAAATGTATATAAAAGTATCCTGATTTATTTCAATGTGTCTGTGTGTGTGTGTGTGTGTGTGTGTGTGTGTGTCATAATAATATTATTAATTCTACAATATATACAATTAATGTTAGAAATAAGCAATTTAAAAAAATCGTCTGCAGAAATCGAGAATTTGGAAAATTATTTTATTTCTCTTTTGTTAAATTAATTTTTTAATATGATAGATTATCGAATTATTCTACGTATACAATATATATTTTACTTCAAAATTTATATTAATTTTTAAATTTTTTACTATTTAAATTAATATATTTATAGTTGCAGAATTATTTATTATTCTATATTGAATTTTCTATGTTCGTCTTGAACCATTTTTGGATGTCTCAAGACTCGATCTAGTCTTTTGCGAACAATGTATTTCGGGGTACTAGAGTGCGTTAAAGACGGTTGGCTTCTTGCTGGCAGTCTCTCCGAGCTCTTCTTGTTTCCTGGCTGGTCTGCAAGGACTTTTTGCTCTGTGCGATCTTTTCACGGACGAACATCCGGACATATCTCTGTTGTCGTCTCGTCGCAATGCACGCATGTGCATTTCTACGATAGAAATACGACACGGTCGTCGTCGTCGTCGTCGCAAAGTCAATGTAACGAATGTGCTTTCTCGTATCAGCTTCGTCACGCGAGTGACTACATTGGAACGCAAAGTACTTATTTACATGTGACACGAGAGGTTCGGATTTAGTTGTTCATATTGTAGAATTTTGAATTCCAGCATTCTTTTGTTTCTTTTATATAAAAAATTTTTTTTTCTTTTATGCAATTTTTCTTTATCTTCTTGTTTTTAATAATGAAATATCACATACATAACTGTAGACTTTACTAAAAGCAAAAAAATTAAAAGCAAAAATGTTAGGAAACTAGTAGTTCCATATTTACAAATGTGTAAAATTTCACGCAAATAGCAAACATAATTTATCATGTATCAGCTTGTCCAACACGAACGTATATTAAACCTGCATTTTAAGTGAACAATAGCTATAAGAAAAAAACATTACATGTTCCTGCATATTTACGATCGAACAAGGAATGTAAATTTCTCAGCTCGCGAAAACAATCGATACGCGATAAGTCTTCAGGGAGTATACCTCACGGATGTCACGGTAAGGTATTACCACCTTTTATAAGACCACCCCAATCGCTCCACCTTCCATCTACTCTTCCTATCCATTACAGCGGTGACATACCGTCGTATTGCGTCTCGAAGCGATTTACAAGAAGCCCATTCTGCAAGATACCTTACAAGGGGCTACCTTTTCTGACTCGTAGGTCCGCCGATGTCCTTATATGTCCGCCAATTCTGAACAGTGTCCACTTTCTGACGTCGCTACTCTCTGTTTCTCTCCTCCGCAACGTTTCCCTTGCAACGCGAATGTGTGGATGAAACACACCCGCACGCGCACGCAATGGGATCCCATGGAGTCATCTCGATGGAATGTCTAGGGCGGTTAGCCTCAAAGAAGAGTGGACGCGTTTCATCCTGCGTCTCTGTGTACATCCACGAGAATTCTCTTCCTCGATTGCGTACCCTCGCACTCCTCTTCCGTTTACTCCTCGCCGGCTACTCCCGACTTCCGAGAATAACTCGAGCACGTTTTTACGCCTTAGAAATCTGCGAGATCGGGTGCTTCTCTCCTAACTGCGGCTATCCGAGTCATTGCACGAAACAACTATAAATCAGTGATAAAAAAATAAATAGTTAGAGGACAGTAGTTGAAAGATAAATAAATCAGAGATGATAAAAAATAGAGAGATGAAATATGTGATGTTCACATCAGTCTTTTATACACGAATATATAATTCTTTTTATTTGAAGTATAAATATGCAAATCTTTTAAAATAAATTTTCAATGCATTTAAAACATTCAAAAATTTCCAATACATATCCAATCAAATTTTTCAATATATAAATTTACGACTGCTAAAAGAAATTCTGTGCAGATTTGGTTTAAAAATAGTATCCATAAATGGGTTTGATATTTTTTTAATGAAAATCCAAATAATACATAATTTAGAAAAGCTTTTAATTAAATATTTTTCAGAAGAATTAATTTTGTTTTTAAGGATCGTAATTTCTGTATTTCGTGCATCTTAAATGCATTCTTATTAAATTGGATTTAATTTAATCTCTTATTTCTTTAACCATTTTTTATGTTTCGAAGAAAGTAGAATACTATTTATTTTTTTATAATTGGCTATCTCTTACACAACTACGTTTAACTTATACTACCAAGATATTTCCTGTGGTTCATGAAAACGAGACCATTTCGTGGTCTGGTAGATTAAACTTGCCATTTATATGTTGTGAATATTTAAATTCTTGACATATACAAGAGGAGAAACACGAGTGCGTACGACGTAGGCGAAAGGAGCTTCGTGCACCGGTGATGTTAACTAGAATAACCAGATCGTAGCATGTTCGACTGCCTCGGTTTGCAACAGCCAGTGGCGTACACGAATCTGCGCACGACAAGTGCAACTCGCTCGTTTCCGCGTGGGCGGCAAATGCAAATGCTATTTGGAAATTCTGTTTACGACAAATTTTAATTAAATACAAATGTAATGTATACAAAAAATTGTTATAAATTGTGCACAAATATTTGATGAAAAATTGTTAATGTGCATATGATTTATTAAAACACAAAGAGAGAGAGAGAGAACAGTGCCAATCAAGTTGGTACTTGAAATTAATGGAATAAAAAATAGATAGCATGATTCTTCAAAATAGCGACATTACACCAAGAAAAATGTTCTAGTTGTATCAACAAATAGTGCGAATATAAAATGAATTCTAATTATATGAATTAGATTTCTGGTTGTAATTGAAATTCTGATCATTTTAACTAGAATAATCGATAGATTTAACTAATGTTTAATTTGTACATTTCTGGTTGAATTTATCAGAATTTCAATTGATGCAACAAGATTTTTTCCACAGTGTAGCTTTTTAGTTATCATCTTATTCAAACGATAATTGAGGAATTTA